TTTGGTTGGTTTGTTAGACTTTTCAGACAGGGTCTCACTCTGTAGTCTAGGCTGGCCTCAAATTTGTGGTGCTCTCCTACCTTGGCTTCCTGAGTGCTGGGATTACAGGCATGCACTACTATGCCCAGCTGAAAATACCTTTGTTTAATAAAACACAGCACACAGTAATATTCATTGAATTATTCTGAAGAAAGAATTCGTGGTTCCAGAGTCTCAGCTTTGCCACTAAGAGAGCAGAAATCCTTAGTAAAGTCACTTGAAATCTCTGAGAGTTAATTCTACTCCTGCATGGAAAGGTCAAGGTTATTCAAACATACTGGAAGCCAAATTCTGCGTTCCTCAGACTGCAACAAAATAACGTTTACCAAATTGGCCTGCAGACAAGAGCCAGCAGTACCGAATTATCTCCCAGGCAGGGACTTGAGGCATTTGGTCTAAACGTGGAAATAATGAACTAAATTAATGAGTCACCTGAAATAAATAGGAAAAAAATGTTTACAAATTACCAAATTCAGAAGGGAAGACTAAGATAATATGTTCACCATCCATTGCAAGCTACACACCTGTATAAACTTTGCAGTAGAGAGTAACTAATTTTGTGATTGTTTTTCTGAAGGAAGCAAATGGAAGAAAATAAAGGAAAGTTCGAAGATTTAATGAATGAGATACTGTACTTAGACTTCAGGAACGCCCTGAAAATGTTTACTGAACTATTTTCTTAGATTAAATGCTTTGGAGCCAGGCATAGTGGCACATGTCCATAATCCCAGCACTAGGGAGGCTGAGGCAGGAGGACTGCTGCAAATTCTAGGCCAGCCTGGGCTACCTAGTGAGTTCAAGCCCAATCTGAACTACATAGTGAGATTCTGTCTCAATCAATCAATCAATCAATCAATCAATCAATGCCTTGGAAAGCCAGGGATGGTAGCACATAGTTATAATCTCAGTCCTCAGGAAGCTGAGGCAGAAGGATTAATAATAGCTCAAGGCCAGCCTGAACTACATAGCGAGACCCTGTATCAAAAAGAAAAAAAAAGTTATGGAAAGCACAGCATATTCCTTTCAGTTTCGATAACCAATGATATCTTGGTACATCATTAAGAAAGCAAAGTGATATCACTAAATGTTCTTCCTAATTCATTACTACATCTCTTTTAATCCTTTCCAAAGTCTTTTTTTTCTTAAGTAGTCCAGGGTGGCCTGGAGCTCACTATGTAGCCAAGGCTGGCCTCCAGCTCCTGGAGATCGTCCTGCCTCAGCTTCCTGAGTGGTGGGATCACAGATGTGTGTCACCATGCCTGGCTCTGCCTGCTGATTTAGCTGAATTAGTGCAGGCCCTCATTAAAATTTTGTTTATGAAAAAAATTTTGTTTATGGCTGGGTATGGTGGTGCTCTCCTGTAATCTTAGCTACTCAGGAGGCTGAGGCAGGAAGTTCACAACCTCAAAGCCAGCCTGGGCAATTTAGCAAGACCTTTTCTTAGAAATAAAATTTTAAAAGGGTTAGGTGTATAGCTCAGTGGCAGAATACTTGCCTAGCATGTGTGAGGCCTTGGTTTCAGTACTTGGGACCAAAGAAAAATTGTTTATAAGTATGATTTCAGACTATGTATATGATTACAGATTATGTTTAGTTTATGTACTACTGTATAAGGAATATTAAATAATCTGCAACATGAGACAGAAGAAAAAAAAATAGCCATAGACACTACCTGTATTTCCTATTGCTAAACTGTTTTGAAAGGAATAGAATAATAGAGTTTGAAAAACTGAAGAACTACTTCCCGTAATGATAACCTTAAAAAAATAATTTTTTATTTTTTTGGTACCGGGGATTGAACCCGGGTCCTTGCGCTTGCGAAGCAGGTGGCGAAACCACTGAGCTAAATCCCCGGCCCTTAAAAAAATAATTCTGTGGCCAGAGATTTAGCTCAGTGGTTCTGACGCCTGCCTCGCAAGCACAAGGTCCCAAGTTCGATCCCCGGTACCAAAAAAAAATAATAATAATAATAATAATAATTTTGTGGCTGGACATGGTGGTATACATCTGTAATCCCAGCACTTGGGAAGCTGAGGCAGGAGGATCACCACAAGTTTGAGGCCAGCCTGGACTACACAGTGAGTTCAAGGCCAGCCTGAATTACATAGTGAGATACTGCCTCAAAAAAACAATTTAGGGCTGGGGATTTAGCTCAGTGGTTTTGCTCCCTGCTGCGCAAGTGCAAGGACCCAAGTTCGATCCCTGGTACCAAAAAAAAAAGACACAAAAAAACAATTTAAAAACAAAAAACTATTTTGGAGTGGGGCATGGAGGAGCATACCTGTACTCCCAGCACTCTGCAAGGCTGAGGCAGAAGGGTTGAAAGTTCAAGCCCGGCCTGGACCACTTAGTGACTTAATGAGACACTGTCTCAAGATTTAAAAGTTGTTTAAGAAAGGCTGGGGATCGTGGCCAGGGATGTAGCTCAGTGGTACCGTGTTGGCCGCGTGAGGCCCTGAGTTTGATTCCCGGTACCAAGGACTTTCACAGTGCTTTACATTGTATCAAATTAAGTCAATGAATGGTGAGGCTCAGTGTTGACCTTATGGGGAAATCTGATTTGGTTCTTAGCCAGTTCGGTTTACGACCCAAATCATGGACAAAACTGAGTTCGTGAACTAAGGTACCACTGTATATTTGTGTCAAAAGTGTACAAGACTCACTTTGCCAGACTTAGAAACAAATCTGATTTACTAGTGTTCTCCTGGAAAGGAACTCATTCCTAATGTACTGCACTACCAAAACGAATAAACAAAAAGACAATTTTGATGACTATCAATCTGTAAATCTCTCTAATTTATTCAGAATGCAATATGCAAGGTATATTTGAATTACCACTGACTGATACTATCAGTCTGCCTAAGTTTCTGAAAAACCAAGGTAACAAATTATGGTCTAACGGTGGGCGGGGGGCACACAATGTCTGGAATTTTGTAGATGAGCATTTGAAACCTCAGATATTGTGAAATATTTCTGGTTTTCATGCCAAAATCTGGGCATGTTGGAGGTCATTTCTCTCTGGGAAAGTGTATTTTTAAAATAAAACTTGCAGAAAGATGAAAGAGAAAGCCACCACCAACCACTGGTGATAGGTGAATCACAATTCAGAGGTCCCAAGTGACTGGAAATCACTCTTAGAAATACTTACATCTGTTAACTACTAGTATTTTTATGCAGCCAGCCAAAGTTCATCAGAGGCTCACCACTAAAATTTTACAGTAAGTTGCTTTAACACATTTGGAATACTTTTGCAATATGCTTTTGCAAACCATAATTTCTAAAATGTTCACTCTATTAGCAATAAGAGGAAACTCCACCAGTTTCTGCTCACTGAAAAGTTAGGCTGGATAACCTCCAAAGTCTTTTCTGTTTGTTTGTTTTAGGGGGTTTGAGACAGGGTCTTGCTATATAATATAGGCTGGCCTTGAACTCAGTATGTAGCTCAGGCTGGCCTTGAACTCACAGTGATCCTCCTGCCTCAGCCTCCCAAATGCCAGGATTACAGGCATGCACCACCACACCCAGATCCGAACCCTCTTGGAGCGCTAGAATTTTGTTTTCCTTGAGACCTAATTAGATTTGTGAACCCTGAGAACACTACAGTTTAAACTGTGATTTACATCTAGGTTATGGTGTTGCAGATTCAAAATAGGAAGTAAAGATGCTTTTATGTATTGCTTGTTATTTTTTTCAGATCATACAGTTTTTCAAAAGCAGAAGTTTCACTAAACTACTATAGTATTAATGCAATTGTTAAAGTGTATTCTTTTTTTTTGAGATAGGGTCTCATTATGTAGTCCAGGCTGCCCTTGAACTCACAGTAATCCTCCTGCCTCAGCCTCAAAAGTGCTGGGATCACAAGTGTTCACCAGCATGCCCAACTAGTAAACTGTATCTTGACTATGATTTTGAGTTATAGGATTGCACAAACTGCTTTGTTTAAAGGTTACAGAGCTGGACATGGTGATGTACACCTGTAATCCCAGCACTCAGGAGGCTGAGGCAGGAGAATTGCCATGAGTTTGAGACCAGCCTGGGCTACATAGTGAGTTCAAGGCCAACCTTGAATGACATAGCAAGACCCTGTCTAAAAAAACAAAAATAAATAAATAAATACAAGAGCTGGGGATTTACCTCAGTGGTGCTACCACCTGCCTCGTGAGCGGAAAGTCCCGTGTTTGATCCCCGGTACAAAAATACATACATACATACATAAGTAAAAAACAATAAAAATATTTGACAACTTTTATGAACCTGAATGACTCCAACAGTCAGGGCTCCCATTTATATTTCAATTTTTTTTTTTACCTCACAGTGCCTAAGTCATTATTATGCTAATATTTCAGATATTTGGAAAATAATTTAGAGATTTTGAAGAATTTGATTATTTGATACTTTGATTTTAATCAATTAGTGATGATAACCTAACTGAAACCTTATTTATTTATATTATTATTTATTTAAATTATACAGATAAATAAATTCTTTCCACTCTGAATCCTTCCAAGTCTAATTTGGGATTGAATTACAGTAGGAAAGAGTGACACCTACTGAGCCAAAATTACTCAGACATCTCAACATTAAGTTCATTTAGCAGAACATGGAAGGTCTAAGGATTTTTGGAATTTTCTTGTCCCAAATGTACATGGAAGGAGACATTCTATTTTCACATCTTTTTATTAGTGCATGTTAGTTACACAAATGAACGGGTTTCATCTTGGCAGAGTCATGCGTGGACATAACATACTTTGACCATCTGCACCTCATCAGCCCCTTGCCTCAACTTCCCCCAGTTGCACAATTCTTGGGGGGCAGGGGGAGAGGTTTTAATCATATCTATAATGGGATCTTCATGCACCAAATATTTTATTTAACTAAATTTTTCCTTCCAGTAGAGTTATCAGGCTGGACACGTGTGTTTTCACCCCAACAAATAATAAAGGATTTAAAAGATTACAAACCCCAAATAATGAGAAAATGGGAGGGAGTCTTCAGCAATCGCAGTTACTCCACCGAATATCTGGAAGACAGAAATCAGAGAATACTGAATATTTTAACAGAGTGAAAAAAGCTACACTATAAACTGTCAGCAGGGCCCCGGCCACGCCTTGCCAAATCCTGAGAGCCCAGGGGCTCAAGGGAGGTGCGGCAGGCTGAGAGGAAGACGGAGAAATCAGTCAAATTTGAGTCTCCATGCGGTACACAAAAACCTCCCCAGCGCTATCTTCACCACAGAAAACGTAAATGACCTTTGACTACCTGCTAGTTTTAAAAAGAGGGCAGGGAGCCAGGCATGGCGGTGCAGGCCTGCCTTCCCAGCACCCAGGAGGGTGAGGCAGGAGGATCACTGAGAATTTGAGGCCAGCCTTCGATACACAGGAAGATGCTGTCTCAAAACAAAACAAAACAAAAGGAACAACAACAGCAATAACAACAAAAACCAAACAACAAAAAAGCAAAACAAAACAAAATAAACCCCACCACAACAGGGCAGGGAGTTCTGTAAAGAAACAGATTGCAGGGCCGGGGATTTAGCTCAGTGGTTCCACCACCTGCCTCGCAAGCGCAGGGTCCTGAGTTCGATCCTCAGTACCAAAAAACAAAAAGGAAACAGATTACCCTAGTTGGGGACAACTAGAGCAGCTGGCATGACAGGCTGCAATGATACCTGACAGTAGCGCTCTGGGCCCCACCTGCCCACACCTGCCTGGTAGCCTTTCCCACAGAACTCATGTTCCTTTTCTTTCTTTCTTTCTTTCTTTCTTTCTTTCTTTCTTTCTTTCTTTCTTTTTTTTTTTTTAAGGCAGGGTCTTGCTGGCAAGGTCTGATTTTTTCTGGTGCTGGAAGTCGAACCCAGGGCTTCTGTGTGCTAGGCAGGCATTTTACCACTGAGCCACATCCCCAGCCCCATTTTTATACAGCATTTGTAAATATTTACTAGCAACCAAGAAATGCCAGATATTTGAGGAAAACTTGTAATGTAAAAGAGAACAAGATAAACATTTTTTTAAAAAAATGACTATAGAGAATGGAAATAATTCAACACATAGAAGAGGAAAATATTGTTTTGTTTTGTTTTAAGAGACAAGAGTCTCATTAATTTAGTCCAGGGTGGTCTTGAATTCACTATGTAGCCCAGGCTGGCCTCAAACGTCCAATGATCTTCCTGCCTCAGCCTCCTAAATGCTAGGATAACAGGTATGAGCCATTGTGCCTAAGAGGAAAATATTTAAAACTATCTAATATACTCAAATTAAAAATGATATTACATTCTTATAACAAGGAAAGGATACTACGAAAAAAAAGCAAGAAATAAAGTTTAGAATTTGTTTGAGTTTGTTTTTGTTTTGGTACCAGGGATCGAACTCAGGACCTTGTGGTTTCAAGGCAGGCACAGTGCCACTGAGCTAAATCCCTGGCCCCAATACCAAAAGAAAAACAAAACAAAACAAACTTGGGCCAGGGACTTAGCTTAGTGGTTCCACTGCCTGCCTGGAAAGCTCAAGGTCCTGAGTTCGATCCCCAGTACCAAAAAACCCCCCAAAACAATGATTTCTTTTGGTACCAGGGATCAAACTTGGGTCCTTGAGCTTGGCAGGCAGGTGCAGTGCCATTGAGCTACATCCCTGGCTATTCGTGGTGTTTTGTTTTGTTTTGTTTTGTTTGAGACAGGGTTTCTCTATGTAGCCCAGGCTGACCTTGAACTCAGGGCAATCTTCCTGTCTCAGTCTCTGGAATGCTGAGATTACAGGCAGGTGCCACCACACCTGGCTCAGAGTACTTAAAAATTTAAACTGTAATTTCTGAAATTAAAATTCCCAATCAAAATACCAATAGCATCCCTCACAGAATTAGAGAAAACAATCCTAAAATTATATGCAACCAAAAGAGACCCAAAATAACTAAAGCTACAAGAGCGAAGCAGATGTCAAGTTATACTACAAAGCTACAGTGCTAAAAACTGCACAGCACTGGCACATAAACAGACAACTGGGTCAGTGGAACAGAAGAAAGGAAGCAGAGAGTCCCTGGCACACTCAGCCATCTGATCCTCAGCAAAGCAGCCAGAAAACTACACTGGAGGAAAGACAGCCTCCTTAATAAATGGTGCTGGGGAAACCGGCTTCCCACATGCAGAAAACTGAATCCAGACCCTTATCACTCACCACGCAGTAAACTACAATCAAAATGGATCAAATGTCTCAATGTTAGAACAGAAACAATATGCTGGAAGACAAAATAGGTAAAACTCTTTAACACAGTGGCACAGGCAAGGACTTTCTTTTTTTTTTCTTTTTTTTTTTTTAAGGACTTTCTGAACAGAATCCCAATCATATGAGAAATAACTCCAATACAGTCATTAACAAACAGGATCGCATCAAATTAAAAAGCTTCTGGCCCGGGGATTTAGCTCAGTGGTTCCGGTGCCTGCCTCGAAAGCGCATGGTCCCGAGTTCGATCCCCAGGCACACACACACAAAAAAGCTTCTCACAGCAAAGAAAACCACCAAAAGAGTGAAGTGACAACCTACAGAATGGGGAAAAATTTTTGCCAGCTATTTCTCGGACAGAGGACTAATATCTAGAATGTATGAAGAACTCAATACAATTAGACCCCTCAAAATAAATGACCCAAGTAAAAAATGGGCAACTGAAATGAGCAGACATTTCTCAGAAGAAGTATAACTGGCCAATAAGCACAAGAAAAATGTTCAACATCAATGGCCATAAAATAAATGCAAATTAAGGCCAGCCTGGGCTACATAGTGAATCTGAGGCCCGTCTGAACTACATAGTGAGACCCTGTCTCAAAAAAAAAAAAAAAAAAGCAAATTAAAGCAACACTGAGATTCCATCTTACCCAGAAAGAATGGGCTGTCATCGAGAAATCAAATAATAACAAATGCTGGCAAGTCTGCCGGGGAAAAGGGACTCTTCTACATTGTTGGTTGGAATGTAAACTAGTACAACCACTGTGGAGATCAGTACTGTATGGAGATTCCTCAAAAAACTAAAAATAGACATTCCATTGGACTTGGGTGTCCCCTTCTAGGCACGTTTCTGAAAGGGCTAAAGACATCACAGTACAGTGACCCATGCACACCCATGTTTAGAGCAGCACAGTTCATAATAGCTACATCTTGGAAGCAGCCTCTGTCCATCAACAGACAGGTGGATAAAGAAAATGTGGTATTTATACAGGATGGAGTACTACTCTGTCATTAACCAGGATAAATGGAGACCATAATGCCGCATGGTGGCAAACACCTGTAATCCCAGCTCTCTCGAAGCTGAGGCAGGAGGATCACTTCGAGTTTGAGGGCATCTTTGACTACCTAGTGAGTTCAAGGCCAGCCTGAACTACATAGCAAGACCCTGTCTCAAAAAAAAAAGGAAGTACAATGGGGACCACAATGGTCAGTGAAATAAATCAGACACACAAGTTTAAATATTACATAGTTTCTCTTCTGTGAGAAACGCAAAGTACTATAAGGAGAAGAATTAAATAGGAAACAGGGAGATTATTTTGCAAATGGGAGGAGACCAAGAGATGGAAGGAGGAGGCAAGGCAGGGGGAGGGGAACTGGATGAAAAAAGAACTGAGATGTTAAAGTTATGTAAAGTACCAACACCCCTTGAGGAATGCAACCATCATTCTAACAATTCTAACATTCTAACATCATTCTAACATTCTAACATCACATACTAACAAAAAAGAAAAACTCTGAAAACAATTTAACAGAAGGGCCAAAAGTAAAAGTAAGAAAATCTTTTAGGGTGTGACCCAAAAAGGTAAAGAAATATTTTTAAAAAGGTGAAAAATGTAGAGGGACAATTTTAGAGGTAAGATATCTAATCAAAGGGCTGGGATTTAGCTCAGTGGTTCCGGCGCCTGCCTCAGAAGCACAGGGTCCCAAGTTTGATCCCCGGTACCACACACACAAAAAAATCTAACCAAAATTTCTGGAAGGGAAAACAAAGAAAAGGGAAAGAAGAAATTCTGAAAGGAGGAACAACAGTTCCCAGCAGTGAAAAGCGTTTTTAAGTTCTACATTGCTTTTTCATTTAACAATTGCTGGACATTCAGGACATTTTGGCTGCTGTGAATCGGGCTGCTGTGCACATCTCTGGGTTGGTTTGTTTTGCAATCCTGGGAATCAACCCTGGGGCCTTTGCACAACTACACCCCCCAGACATTTTTAGTTTTTATTTTATGATAGTCTCTCATTAAGCCAACAAATGCCCAGGCTGGGCTCAAACTTACAGTCCCTCCTGCCTCAGCCTCCCAGAATTGAGATTAAAGGTGTGTGCCACCTCTCCCAGCTCAGGTGCCCGTCTGGGTCCCTATTTTCAGCTCTTTCGGTTATACACATAGGAGTAGAATTGCAGAGTCTAATGGTAAATCTGTGGTTCCCTTCTCGCAGAACTGCCAAACTGAGAAGCTGCACCATTTCACATTCCAATCCCCCATGTCTAAGGGTTCCACCTTCTCCATGTCCACACCAACATTTGTTATTCTCTTTCCTTGTGTGTTTTGGGATGAGATCACTATATCATCGGAGCTAGCCTTGAATTCCTGGGCTCAAGGGATCATCCTGACTCAACCTCCCATTTGGCTGGGACTTCAGGTACCTGCCATCATGTCTAGCTTGTCTTTTTTATTATAGACACTCATGTGTGTGAAGTGGCATTTTGTTATGGTCACATTGTTTTATTCCTTTCGGTGATTACCTTAGAAATTACCAGTCCTGTAGCTAGGCGTGGTAGCGTATACCTGTAATCCCAGCACTCAGGAGGCTGAGGCAGGAGGATTGCTGAAAGTTTGAGCCCAGCTTGGGTTACATAGTGAGTTCAAGGGCAGCCTGAGCTACACAGCAAGAGCCTGTCTCAAAACAAACATCCCCAAAATTAAAAATAAAAAAGAAATTACTAAGCCAGGTGTGGTGGCACACACCTGTAATCCCAGCACTTGGGAGGCTCAGACAGGAGGACTGATGAGAGTTTGAGGCCAGCCTGGGC